TATCAATTTGTAGTAAGTTATAAAGAAATTCTTAATAAAATCTTTGGTCGGCCGGGTATGGTAGCTCAAGCCTGTAATCCCAGCACTTTGGGAGGCCAAGGCGGGTGGATCACGAGGTCAAGAGATCGAGACCATCTTAGTCAACATGGTGAAACCCCGTCTCTACTAAAATTACAAAAAATTAGCTGAGCATGGTGGAGCATGCCTGTAATCCCAGTTACTCAGGAGACTGAGGCAAGAGAATTGCCTCAACCCAGGAGGTGGAGGTTGCGGTGAGCCGAAATCGTGCCATTGCACTCCAGCCTGGGTAACAAGAGCGAAACTCCGTCTCAAAAAAAAAAATCTTTGGCCTTTCCTATGAAGGAACAGACTCAAAGCGATCTATGTAGTGTTGATTTTCAAGATAATTAAAAGTAAAAATTATTGAAAATATGTTGACAAAAGGCCATTAATGGCTATGTGAAACCATTTAAACTCTAGTTCATATTTGAATATCAGCAATTCTATCATTTGGCTCTAGATAAGTATTTATAAGGTCAATTTGCATACAAACAATTCAGTGAATTATTGTGTAAAATAATGAGAATAGAGTATTAATAAACAGTTTTAAAATTTTAAATAACATATATCTTATCAGCATATTTATAAACATTTAAGTCTGACAATATCAAGTATTGGTGAGTACATGAGAAGTGGCACGCTGAAAGTTTTGTAATGAGAGACAAAACTGCTAGAACCAATTTGACAGACAATAAATATTTAAATGTCCAATCTATATCCTCCAACAATTCTAATTCTGGATCTTTATTTAAGAGAACTTCTCTCAATGAACACAAGGAAATACGTATAATGAGACTCAATGTCGAACTGTCTGTAAAGGCAAAAAAAAATTGGAAACTCAAATGTCCATGAATAGAGAAATGATGAAATATAATGTAACATATTTATTTAATCAAATTTAATTTATTTTGAAATACACAAAAACAATGCTACAACATCGGGCACAGTGGCTCACACCTGTAATCCGAGCGCTTTGGGAGGCTGATGTGGGTGGATCACCTAAGGTCAGGAGTCAAGACCACCCTAGCCAACATAGTGAAACTCTGACTCTACTGAAAATACAAAAATCATCTGGGTGTGGTGGTGAGTACCTGTAGTCCCAGATACTCGGGAGGCTGAGGCAGGAGAATTTCTTGAAACTGGGAGGCAGAGGTTGCAGTGAGCCAAGATTGTGCCACCGCACTCTAGCCTAGGTGACAGAAAGAGACTCCATCTCAAAAACAAACAAGCAAACAAAAAACTATGCTACAATAAAAAAAATCCTATATATCATTTATCAATGTATGTATGTGTGCAAAACTTTTTAAATAATTAGAAAATTAGTATGAACTTATGAAAGTGTCTCCAGAGATGAGTGGAAGAAGATGGGGCTGTAGATAATGATTAAATAAAAATTTTACTTTATCACATTTTCCATCTTTAAAATATACAGAGGAAGAATATATGCCAAAAGGCTAATTTCTTAAGGGTATAAGGGTATTTCTTATATATGCTTTATATTTTTCTGTGTCTCTTAACTTTCCTAAAATCCTTTATAGAAAAGAAAATTAATTTTTCATGTTTGAATGCCCAGTCCGATAAAATATTCTTTTACTACTTTTTGTCTAAATTAGTGTAGAACCTGAGAAACATAAATAAATCTATAAAATTAAACATTGCTGTGTTTCAGATTTTTCTCATATCAAAAGGAAACTCTAAAGAATAGGGCTAGCATGTTTTTACTCATATCTTTACAACTGTGGCAATATATACATACTTTAAACAAATGTATAAAATATAAAGCATAAAGATTTATAGTTAATTTTTCTTGAAAATAGCAGATATCTATTTATATATTCCATCTATAGGATAATGCTTAGTATAAGGCTACAGTGTATTTCAAAATAGATTCAGAATATTTTATGACAACATTTATAGTATCTGCTTTTGAAAATCATAAATCTTTGCCATTTACATAGCATACTACTTAGCTCATAGTTGCAAAATACTATCTATATGTCATACATATCTTGAGAATAGGCAAAATGTAAAAAACCAAACAAACAAAAAAGAATAAAGCTACAGTTCAGCCCACACATGTAAAAAATCTATTATTCTGGTCAAAATTTTTATTCCAAAATATAGTGGCTTCACTTATACAGTTCAAATTTCTTATTCTAAGTCTTGTTGAGGAAATTCTATAACGGTTTAAAACACACTGCAATGAAACCGACGGGGAAAAATGCCAAAAATACATTATGCTCCTCTTATCAACCTCCTAACAACAATGGTACTTTTAATTTCATATGAAAAAGTTGAAAATCTTTGAAAAGTTTTCCTGAATATAAAGTAACATCTTAAGTATGGATGTTGCCCAAACATTGAAATCTGTCTTAAATATTAGTTATTAATGCACAATAAATTCAAGGCCTATAAGTTCAAAACCTATTGATGCCCAATTCAATACTTTGGAATAAAAAATAAATATTGAGGGTTTTAAAATCACAAGATACAGATATGAAATAATTAAAGTATTTGCCAAGCATGTAGGAATTCTATCATAAATAGACAGGAAAAGAAAGACTAAACTTAATCTGTTTTCCTAAGTTCCATTATTAAAAAATATCACAGAAATGAACAGATGCTACCCAAATCCTCAGGTTGGTAACCTGAAAAATTTCTCAGTAAATGAGAAACTGAGATCTTGACATCTTCCATCCCAAGCTATGCTTATTATGATAGAGCTCACAAAGACTATACTAATGTGTTAACTAAAGATAATTTGTCTGTATCTATGTAATATTTGGGAAGTTACTTTATCAGTAGAGAATTCTAAGTTTAGTTACCATATCAGTTGTTTCTCCCTATGTACAGAATATGCAAATGAAATCTAATTTTAATTAATCACTGGTTACATTTATTCGAGTTCATAGTGATTTTTGAGATGGAAAATTTCTAAATTCTGATTCTTATCCTTTCCTGAAGTGCTTTTCTCATTATTAGATGTTCTTGGACCTTTCTATTATCTAAAGAAAATGTACACTAAAAAATAAAATAACATATAACAATGAAATACAAGTTACACCTATAACATAGTAACAAAAGTATGACCTTTACCTTGGAGTAGATGAGATTTCAAATAGCTAGAATTGAGGGTAGCTTCAAGGAGAAATTCATATTAAAGTAACTCATTTGATCATCCATACCATACTCTCTCTAAAATGCACATGAACCATGAAGTAACTGAAGTGCTTTTTATACCTCCTAATTTTATCTTTGCAAGTAGTTGAAATCTCTGCTAAAATGTGGATTTTCTTAATTGATATTACCCAGTATGGCACCTCATTATAAGAAAGGAAATTAAAACTGGTTGTGAAAAAGGTAAAAAAGTATATCTAACACAGATTTTTAGTTGAATCCCTAGTGTACTATTTTTATTTTTCTCATAGTACATGCAATTTAAGGAACTCCCAAGAAGTACCACTACTTTTCAAATTCTCAATGTAGAAAATTCCTGTTCCAAAGAGAATGAGGAAAATAATTTTCATAACAACGCTAATCTTTTACATCTTTCCTCTAACAATATTACAATTTACTCTTACGAAAAGCCAGTTGTCTAGTATATTATTTAAGAGAAACTGAAAAGCTCAAAAGTTTTTTGTATAATATTGAACAATTAAAGTTAAGAATGCTTTCTTTCTTCTTTTAAAAAAAATGTTCTTTCATGTCACTTCGCTATTTGCACAAAAAACTTAGGAATGTATATAGTTCATAGTATCATGGTGCTATAAAACAATGTCATTTAACTACAGAAGAAAGAAAGGAAGAGTAGCAGAGAGGAAAAGGAAAGGAAAGAAAGAGAGACAAAGTGTATTAAAGAGAAGAAAAGAAAATTCTAGCCAGTAAAATGTATATGGGATCAAATCGTTTTGGGAAATGTGGTTTCTACACAGTGGCTGTGTTATCAGTGGCTTTGTCTAAATTCTAACACAGAGCTCAGTCTCATCTGGTATCCCACTGCCATATTTCCAAGGGCCAAGCCTATACTGAAACTTCTAGTCTAAGTTTGGAATGCAGTTAAGGTTTGGGTATAAGGCTACTCTGGGAATAAAGTCAGAACACAATTCTTAACTGGATTAATCCTTCACCATTAAGATGTTTATACATATTGTTTGAATCAAAGCACTAGATATTAGAATTAGAGAATTTAAGTATAATTTAAAATTACATGTGATAGTGATTTAAAGATTGTTTTCTAAAATAATGAAATAATTTTTTCTGTGCAAAATGACAATTTTCTAACAAATCATTCATTTCACAAGCAAATACTGTAAAGAATGGAGACCTAAAAAACAAAAAATCTTTTCTTTTTCATTTGCTTTAAGTTCATCTCAAAGTGTAAGTTAAATCTGTGCTTTAAGATTACATTACCAGGAGTAAGGTATAATGTGAAGAAAATTGCTATAGAAAGCTCTATATTTGCCTGAGTAAAAAGGACCATGGGTAGGCTATTCAAATACATTAAAACAGATACTCACATTAAAATCCTCACATTTTATACTAGTATTTGGGCAAAGAGTAACTGAGGAATATATTAGTTTAATAATATAACTTATCATAAACACAAAGTTTTAAACATAGGCAAATGGATAAGCTATATGTATGTATGAAGCCTGCTTTTAAAGGCTAAGATGTAACACAATACAGAATATATAAAAATATTTCAAAGATGAGAAAAACTAAGTAGGACAGGAATGCTAGCAAAGTGTCTTTTTGATTTGGATTTCCCTCCCTCCTGTATGTTAGTTAGCCTTTAATATGGGCCTTATTAAAGAAGTCCAGTAATTTTTTTTAACTCATAGATCTGTCTAACACAAATATGAACTAAACAATATACGTAAAATAAAATATCTACTTTTACACTATAATATACTATTAATCAATCTTAAAGTTCTCTTTACCTTTATTGTCTGCCTACTTGTCTGAAATCGTTGATCAGATACTTGCTGTTGATGGAGGAGCTTTTCATTAACTTCTTTATATTCTTTAACAGACAATTCTGCTGTTTTCTTGGCATTCTGAAGTACACTGTTTTGTTGTTGCAAGGATATAATCCGTTCTCGTAATAAAATAATATTGCTAGTTGATTTCTGGGCAGTTATATTTTTGTACTTTTCTCTGTTGGCTATATAAAAATATTGAAATTATTAAAATTTAAATCTAATCTTTTAAAAATTAGATTTAAAAATTTAAAGACATATTGTTAATTACATATACATTCTTACCTCTAGTAGGAACTGCTGTATGTGAATTCTTTTGCATCTTACAATTCTTCTTTTGAAAAGTTGTTTTTTTGGCATTCTTATCATGAAAATAGTCCTAAATTTGAAGGTTTCATAAAAATTGTATTATTATTCAATAACAACATCAAGTAAACTGGTATAAGTAATATCCCTTTACCTAAAAATACAATTATTTATGCAGAAGTTTTAAAAAAGACTATAGGAAGCTAAGACAGGAGGACTGCTTGAGGCTAGGAGTTTGAGACCAGCCTGGGCAACATAGCATGACTGTCTCTTACAAAAAAAAACTGAAAAAAAAATTTTTTTTAATTCTAGATAATAAAATTCTATAACTGATACCAAGAACTTACAAATAAACTTATTATATACACTGAACTTAAACTAGCAGGCAGAAGATAAAGATACCAAATCAACTCCAAAGAAGTAGAAACTTAATCTAGGGATAGTTTAAAAACTTAGGAGTAAATATGGTAATAGTAACAAAAGTAAAATGTGAATAATTAATAACTTATTCTCTGAAACTATAGGTCTTTTCTCAAATACTCTTCTCTATTATATGCAGACAAATGAAGCTAATAACCCTCTGACAAATAAGGCTAAAAATAATTCTGACAATAATAAAATAACTTTTCCTGAAGTGGTATGTTTTCCTCATGGCATTCAATACACTGAGGCTGAATAAAATGAAGCCCTTTTGTTTCAAAATATTTTACCAATTTAAACATGTAAATATTAGTAGTAAAACATGCGGTCTTGTTTAAGTTTGCGTGTGTGTGTGTGTGTGTGTGTGTGTGTGTGTGTGTGTGGTTTTGTTTGTTTTTTTTGTTTGTTTGTTTTTTATTTGAGACAGAGTCTGGCTCTCTTGCTTAGGCTGGAGTGCAGTGGTGCAATCTCAGTTCACTGCAACCTCTGCCTCCAGGGTTCAAGTGATTCTCATGCCTCAGCCTTCCAAGTAGCTGAGACTACAGGTGCACACCTCCACCCCCAGCTACTTTTTGTATTTTTAGTAGAGATCGAGTTTCGCCATGCTGTCCAGGCTAGATTCAAACTCCTGGCATCAAGTGACCCACTCGCCTGGCCCACCCAAAGTGTTGGGATTATGGGCGTGAACCACAGTGTCCAGTCTAGTTTAATAATTTATTGGCTGGGAAACATGGATATATTCCATCTAGAAAATTATTTCTTATATTAAGAATGTTTTCAACGATCCCAGTCTTGCAACAAATAGCCCTAAAGTCATGTAACCATTTAACACATATGCCAGAAGCCTATATCTAAAATAAGGTTTTCCTTTAAATTAATTACTTTCAGAAATTATAAAACCTTAACAATGTTTCATTTCTCAAAATATTTTTGAAATGCTTCATTTGAACTTATCTTCAGAACTGGCTTATAAGATAAATTTTTCCTTGCTTTATTAAGATTTAATTAGTATTTAAGTATCAGCCATATACTGAGCACTGTTAAAAAAAAAAAATAAAGGTCCAAAACACAACTACCAATTGAATTACTAATACCAGTCACCAGATTTGCTATCAAATTAACTGCAGCTAAAATTAAATTACAAAGAAGTGGGCTTCTGTTTCCTGTACTATTAATGAATACAAATTCAAGAAAACTCTCATACTATGAAACAAACATATTTAGAGTATCTTTCTAACACGGCAAAAATATAAAGGAAATGCCAGAGGCCAAAAATGAAGTGAAAGCAGAAAATCAGAGAGACAAACCCACAAAGTGGCCAGCAAAATGCAGAACAAACAATCCCTTGTGACCTTGAAATTCCACTTAAATAGCAACACAGAATGCAGAAGGCAAGAAAGAAAGCCTAGTTCCCAATCTAAGACAACAAATTTGAGGTTACAAAGCTAAGACGTTAAGTATGTCAATAGTTAGTTCCTTTTCACTGCTGAGTAGTTTTCTGTGTTACAGATGTATTAGTTTGTTTACCTGTTCAGCTATTGAAGAGAATTTTGGTTGTTCCCAGTTTTCAGCTTTTACAAGTAAATGAGCTATGATCATTCATGTATAAGTTTTTTTTTGGTAAACATATATTTTCAAGTCTGTGGGATAAGTGTCTAAGGGTATGATAGCTGGGTTGTATGGTAAGTTTAGTGTTTTAAGAAACCACAAAACTGTTTTTCAGAATGCTGTAAAGTAGAATTTTATATTCTCATGAACCATATAAGAGATCCAGTCCCTCTGCACTCTGGGTCAGGACATGGTATTTTCACTAATATTTACTTTAGCTGTTTCCTGACAGTGATGTTTAAAAACTTTGTATATTCTTATTTGCCATCCATATATCCTTTTTTGGTAAAATATTTGCCCATATCTTTTGCCTATTTTGTAACTGGATCGTTTAATTTCTTCCTGTTAAGTTTTGAGCATTTTTCATATATTCAAGCTATGAGACTTTTGTCAGACACATGGTTTTTAAATATTCCTCTCACTCTGTGGCTTGTCTTTTGATCTTCTAAATAGGGTTTTTTGAAGAGCAAAAGTTCTTAATTTTAATGAAGTCTAATTTACTGATATTTTCTTTTATGGATCATGCTTTTGGTATCATGTCTAAAAACTCTTCACCCAGCTCTAAGCCCTGAAGATTTTCTCTATTTATTTCTGAAAGTTTATAATATTCTGTATTTATATGTGTTCCACCTCAAATTAATTTTTGCATACAGTGTAAAGTGTATATGCAGATTCTTTTTTAGGTAGGAATATCCAATTGCTCTAGCACTGTTTTTTTGAAAAGATTATCCTTCTTTTATTGAATTATTTTTGTACATTTGTCGAAAATCAGTTGTTCATACTTGTGTGGGTCAAGGTTCTGTATCTTCCTTGAATCTTATTTGAACAGGCCTCATCTGACACCACGCTGATGGGGCAAGGAACACACCATCTAATTACTGCCAGTTGGAAGTAGAAATACAGTCTCAGTTGACAACCTGGTTGGAGAGGGGTACCTTATTACTGCTTGGTGGGGGCAGAACTTCAGGCTACCCAGTAGGCATCTGCTGATACCATCATGGCTGGATAATGGAGGGGGATCTCATTGGTGTTCCTCACTTGGCTTCTACTGACATCATGGGGAGGGGGTAGGGAGCTTGTTAGGTATGAGTGATAATTAAATTACCCATCTCTGTACTTGGCCTCTGAAATTGTCTTGCTCAGAAGGGAAAGAGGCATTAAACTGCTGAATGGAGATGAATATTCAGGTTCCCTATGTGGTCTCCAATGACATGGAAAGGAGAAAGTCAGTGGCTCTCAACCTTTCTGGCAGCAGAGACTGGCTTTGTAGAAGATAAGTTTTGCATGGATACGGGGTGGAGGGGGTAGGGGGGAGGAGATGGTTTCAGGATGAAACTGTTCTATCTTAGATCATCAGGCATTAGATTCTCATAAAGAGTGGCAATCTAGATCCCTTGCATGTGCAGTTCACAATAAGGTTCACGCTTGTATGAGAGTCTAATGCCTCCACTGATCCAACAGGAGGCAGAGCTCAGGCCAACACACTCACCTTCTGCTGTGTGACCCAGTTCCTAGAAGCCCACAAAAGGTACCTGTCTGCAGCCCAGGGGTTGAAGACCTCAGGAGGGAGTCATTATCACTGGCTGCACCCTACTTAGTCTTCTCTGGCAACAACCTGATATTAGGAGGAGAGGTGAAGAGTGCCTACTTACTTACAGCCAGGTGAGAGTGAAAGTCTAGGTTCCCACTAGGCCATTACAGATGAGACTGGAATAGGGTTACAATTTTTTCTGTGGTGTTTGCCTGAAGTAGGACAGTTACTGTGTAAGCTTTTCTGTCTTGCTAGGCTGGCCTCTTCCCGATTCTTTGGCTAAAATAATGGTTTTATCCAGGGCCGGTATTGTCTGACCTACTGGAGTTTCCCAGTGGGGAATTCCAGGTATCCAGGCCAGGATATATGAAGCAAAATGAAAACCCAGAGAGCTTACTACCATGTTGTTCCCTGAGTCCGGGGGTACCTAGCTGGTCTGCTGCCTCCTCTATACCTTTCAGTATCTTCTTGTTTTATATTAATTTAGGTTAATAGAGTCACTACCAAAGTCCCCCAAAAAACTTTTTGTAGAACTTAAGCTGATTTTAAATTCATTTTGAAGAGTAAAGGACCAAGAAGAGACTCTTGATGAACAAGAAGGTGGGAAACTTGTTCTATTACCGATCAACACTCCTAAAATGTAACTAAGACAGCATGATACTAACACATTTACTGAAGGAATAGAAGAAAGAGCCTAGAGAAATATCCATGTGTTTATGTACATTTGATTTACAATAAAGATACCTTTGAATAAAGTAAGGAAAAGTTCATGACAAATATTGGGGAAAAAATGGGAAACTTAATCCCTATCTTATGTCACATGCAAAAATCAATGCTGACATTGATGTGAAAATCAAAACAGTAAATCAGAAAAATATAGGGAAAGAACACAGAAGGTAGTATAGGATACGTCTAAGTTGCAGTAAGGAATGCATTATACAGAAGACACAATGTGCTATTAATAAACAAAGAAATTGATAAGTTTGGCCACATTAGAACTGAGATGTTTTATTCTTCAGAAGACTCCAGTAAGAAGAGTAAAAAGGCACACCATGGAGTAGGAAAAGATACCTAATATAACCAACAAAAGACTCATAGATAGAGTATTTAAGAATTCCTAAGCCAGTAACGAAAATTCAGACAAGTCATTTGTAAAATGCACAGACTTGAAGAGGCAATTTATTAAAGAATACTAATGGCCAATAACTATGAGAAAGTACTCAATATTGTATTAGTAATCACAGAAACTTAAAGTCACAATGATATACCTCAACATACACACAAAAGTAGCTGAAACAAGAAAAACTAACCTACCAAGTATCAATAAAGAGCAGCAAAAATTTTTATAAAATATATTTATCAATCAATCAGCAAGCATTTAGCATATAATTGTTGGTCTGAACTTTATTCTGGTAGTAACTAAAGAAGACCTTTCCTCTAAAGTGCTGGCAAGATCTCAAAACAAATGTTTCTGAATTACGCTTTAAAAGAAACTTAGAGGTTAATTAAAAAACAACCTAATTTTTTACAACAAAATAAAAATGAACTGTCCTTAATTTTTCACTGATTTGTACTAAATAGATAAACATTTGGTGCCTTGATGTATCAGTAGTAGGAATTACTGAATAAGTTGTATTAGAACTTTAATTTTTCAAAATTTAAAATACATTGAGGGGTTAGAAATACGTAATTTAAAGATGTAGTCAGACTAAATGACTTTATCATTGCGAAGGCTAATATTAAAAAAGAAGTTTCCTCACTTGGAATATTTCATATACCTGAAAACAATAATAAGCCTATTATCACTTTTTTGCTGAGATATAAATACCTTAAGATTCATATTTATAAGAATAGTATTTACTTCGATTTTCATCTATGCAAAAGACTGTTACAATAAGAACTTGAAAATTATTCAAAAGTGAATATTTTCACTGTATATTTCAAAAAAGACAACTTTTAAGAATTCAAATTAAATCAATAGTAAAATTTCTTTACTTAAAAAGAATAAGACAAAATTTAAAACAGCATACAATTAAGCAAAATTGTGTCAGATACCTTTGGGGTCTTGCCATCTATATTTAAATATGTCTGTATTACTTCTTTTCCTTGTGTTTGGCTATCTTCTGTTGGATTACTTTCTTTCTGGTCTTTTTCATCTTCTGTAGGACTTATTTTCTGGGATGTTTCTACAATAATTGTTCCCAATGTTTGAGAGGTCTGTGCTTCAGAATCACTGCTTTCAGGAAAAAGTAGGGACATAAAACCCAAGAATAAAAGTTGTTACATGTACTTGTGTTAAGTACAAGACAAAATAATATTTTAGCATAGATTGTATATAAAGCTGCAAGTTTAATGTGGGCATTTATAGGTTCTCAATGTAAAAGGGAAAATCAGCCTAAATCTATTTTACAAAATTATAGAATCCCATCAAGAAAACAGATTATCTAACATCAAATCCCTACTAACATCATGTCTATAGTATTTCTACCAAGTGTTAACTCAGGAAGCATTTGCTGTAATGCTTCTAGGGTCGGAGCATGCACTACTTTCCCAACAAGCCCACAAAGGTTTAATATTTCCAATAAAGTTTTTCCTTCACCTGAAACAAAATTTCAATCTCTGAATTTTTCACTGATTTATACTAAATAGATAAACATTTGGTGCCTTGATGTATCAGTAGTAGGAATTATTGAGTAAGTTGTATTAGAACTTTAATTTTTCAAAATTTCAATCTCTGAAATTTTGTTTCACCCATTGATTCTAGTTCCATCCCTTATGGGGTATTCATCATTCAATGAAGTATTTGTTAAGCACCACCTATGGGCCCAGGCACTTTTGTGGGCATAAAGGCTAAGGTGGTAGTGAACAAAGTGGAAAACAAAATCCCTTCCCTCATGTGACCTTTATCCTGGTAAGAGTAGAGGGACAGGAAACAAGAAGTAGTAAAATACACAGTATGTTAATAGTGATGTTTTAAAGAGAAAAAAAACAAAGGTAGGAGATAGAAGTGTTGAGGTTGTGTGGAACATACAAGTAAGTCCCTTTCCCATATGAATGAGCTTTTAACTATTTAGACATCATTACATGCTGCTTAAGACACCATTATATGCTGCTTAAGACACCAAGAAGAATAACATCCCGAGCTTGTTCAAATGTTCCTAACATATATGCTTATATGCTTTTGAGATGCCTTATTTCCCTGGTCAGACCTTTTTTTTTTTTTTTTTGAGATGGAGTCTCACTCCATCGTGCCCAGGCTAGAGTGCAGTGGTGGCGATCTTGGTTCAGTGCAACCTCCACCTCTTGGTTTCAAACAATACTCCTGCCTCAGCCTCCCAAGTAGCTGTGATTACAGGTATCTGCCATCACACCCAGCTAATTTTTTGTATTTTTAGTAGAGTTGGGGTTTCACCATGTTGGTCAGGCTGGTCTCAAACTCCTGATCTCAGGTAATCCGCCTGCCTTGGCCTCCCAAAGTGCTGGGATTACAGGGGTGAGCTATCATGCCCAGCCTCCCTGGTCAGTTTTGAATGTGTTTCAGCTTATCATGATGGATCATCGTGTCCAGAATTCAGTTTCATATTCCTGTGACGCTATGAGATATACTCAGTAAAACTCTGTGTAGATGCAGACTAAAAGTATGTAAACTTTTCCAGCACGTACATCATACTATAGACTCAAATAAGATTTAACAAAACCTCCTAAAGTATTTCTACGCAGACAACTATTAGAGCCACATATTCTTCCCATTGTATAGTGCCACTGGTATTTTATAGCCAAGTTAACTACCTGTAGGTATTTGTGTAACTATCATCCCAGTCTATTGAGATCTTTGGGGATCTTGATTCTATTGTGTGAAGTATTTTGCATCTCTTTCAATGTCATGTTAATTACAATTAGATAAACATGCTTTGATAGAATTCAGATGTTCTGTATTTACTGTTATTATATTTTAAAAAGTTATTGGTTAGTCTGATAAGAATTTCCCTTGAAGAACCCATACTGGCTTTGAGAAATTACTACTTCTTTTTAAAAACCATTCACAAACTATTATTTTATAATGTCCTAGAACCTTACTTAGGATTTATTTAAAAAACACCAACTGGAGAATTACCCTTCTTTGTGCTTTCTAATTTCCCTACTACACTTTCCTGCTTCCTATATTCTCATACCATTTGGGTTCTCCTTCAAAATACTGATAGCAATTGATCAAATCCTCAAGTTATGTTGATATACCAGAATTCATTATTTCTGAATCAGAATACTCTATTTGCTTACAAGTTCTACTATAATTGTTTACCTCTTTTTGTGTTCTATTCCTTTTTTTTGCCAAAACTTGACAGAAATTCAGTATATAATGCCCAAAATGGCATAAGTATCATAAAAAGCAGCATATTTAGTAATAAGATTATTTAGTAAAAGCTCTCTTATTACTAAATATGCTTATTATTAAGAGAGCTTTTTACTAGTCTTATTTAGTAAAAAGCTCTTATTTAGAGCTTTTGTTATTAATAAAAGCTCTCTTATTACTAAATATGAACGAAAGACAAGGTTGAAAGCAGAGAGGGAGTTTAGGAAAGTTCTTTTTGTATTCCAGGCAACTTATAATGATAGATATAAGGGTGATGACAACCAAAGTGATGAGAAAAGGCCAATTTCTGGACATTTTTCTAAAGAAATACACGAAGATTCCCTGATAGGGTAGATTAATGAGGGACAGAAAGACGGGAATCAAGGACAATATCAAGCCTTTGCTCAGCAAAACTGTAAAGATAGAATTATCATTACTGAGAAAGAGTAAGACAGCAGCTGAAATAGGCTTGATGGGGGTGGGAGTGGGAGGTGGGGAGGTGGATTAGTCAGGGTTTTTCTGGAGAAATAGAACCAACAGGATGTATGCAGATATTTTCAGGAATTGGTTCGTGGGATTATGGAGGCTGGGAAGTCCTAATCTACAGTATGGCCCAGTATAGCCCAGAACTAATGGTGCAGCTTCAGTTCAAATGCCAGGTGGAAACACAGGAAAGCCAATTTTCCAGTTCTAGTGTGAAGTCTGACAGGCTAGACACCCAGGAGGGCTGATGGTGCAGATTAAATCTGAAGGCTATTTTCTGGAAAATTCCCTCTTGCTCACAGAGGCCATTCTTTATATTCTATTCAGGCCTTCAACAGACTAAATGAGGTTCATCTCCATTCTGGAGGACAATGTGACAGTGTGCTTTATCCAAAGCTCACTGATTTAAATGTTAACCTCATCCCAAAACACACAAGTTGACACATAAAATTAACCAACAGAGGAGGCTACTGTCCCTATAACACTCAGTCTCTTTTCAGTGTTCTGTGTGGTACTTGGTTCAGTAGGGAAGTTCTGGTTTTTTGGTGTAGACAGTTCATAGAAGAAACCCTTTTTCTGCATTCCAGACATTATAATGGTTCCTTGACATTCACTTGCAAATGGGATCCTACAGTGTCTTCTCTTAGTTTCTGTTGCCATTCTTATATTGTCCTGCTGTGTTTTCCAATCATAGTCTGTTTAGGGACTTTATATTTTTCTTTTCTCAGGACACCAATTTTCTCTCTCTTGATACAATGCAAATCGTACAGTTACTGATGGCTATCCCTATCTGTTCATATTTTGGGTTTGTCACCAATTCTATTGTAGATGCTATCCTTGAGATTTTGGCTATGCCTTCCTCTTTGTTTTGTTTATTTTGATGGGGGATTTGTGAAAATAAAAATCTGCCACTGCTGCAGCCTCTTCCCAGCAGTACTAGCTTTTTAAATAGAAAATAGTTGTCAACAGAAATCTCATGGCCTTATTGTCTACATGTGGTTCTTGTCATGCTTGTCAGAGGTTCCAGATACCATCTCTGTCTGCTACAGATAGATTCATAATCTTTAGTTCACTGAGTCATCTGCTCAAGTCATTAATATTTCCTGTCCATAGCATTGCCCATTTTCTATTGGTGTGTTTTTTTATATAACAATTTGTAGGTGATCCTTAAATCTTCTGGATATTAGTCCTTCACTTTCTTTATTTGTTGTAAATACCTTCTCCTGGTTAGTCATTTGACTTTTAACTCTTTTTATATAGTCTATTATTACATAGATGTTTAAAGTTCTATTACCTTTCTTTCATATCTGGCTCTGTATTTTCATGTCTTGCTTAAGTATACTTTCTAGAGATGCTCCGAAGTTATAAACAAGTAATCTTGTAATTTCTTATAATACTTTTTAAATTTTCATTGTTTCACTAAACCTCAAATCTAGGCCAAACACAGTGGCTTGCACCTGTAATCTAAACACTTTCTGAGGCCAAGACAAGAAGATCACTTGAGAACAGAAGTTCAAAACTAGTCTGGGCAATGTAGCAAGACCTCATCTCTACAAAAAAATTTAAAAAATTTTCCAGGCATGGTGGCATGTAGTCTCAGCTCCTGTATGCCTGTAGTCTCAGCTCCTCAGGAGACTGAGGCTGAAGGGAGCTTGAGCCCAGGAGGTCAAGGATGCAGTGAGCCATGACTGTGCCACAGCATTCCAGCCTGGGAAACAGAGCATGACTCTATGTCATTAAAAAAAAATTCTCTATACGGACTTTGCTTTTATGTACCGTACTATATTAGGCAGTCAGACAATAAATATAGTTTAATGATTCAACAAACGTATTTATTCACATATTCTTCACTGTCTGCTATGTATATAGTCTGGTCTTCCATCAAAAACTTAACAACATGAAAGGAACTCTATTACTTAATCCTAAGATACTGTGTCAAGAGACTAACTACATGAAAAGTTCTACAGAATCTAGATCTACACTAACCTAGGAATAAAATGCTAGGAACCCAAAGCAAGATTGCTATTTTGGGAAAGTACAGACAAATCTATTTTTGATAAATTTAGTGGAAAACACAGTAGAATCAGGACTTCCATGAGGATAAAATGAATGCATAGGTCATTTAAAAATAGCAATATAAAAGTTTCCAAGATTAAAAACCTTTGCAATCATAAAAGTAATCATTCCACTAACTCTACTGAAAAAAAAGTCTGGGTAGAATTAAAATTAGCTTGAGAAACAAATAATTTTAGCTGAAACAAGTTTACGAAGAGATGTTCATGGAACCTTTGTGTGTAGAATCTATAAACAGCAACAAAATGCAGGCCTAAAAAAGACCTGTACTCACAATTTGAAAAATAAATATTTATTGTACTATACTGTTTCATTGCAGAATTTTTCAT